ACACATTGACAAACACCAGAGCGGATTTTTTCCCAAGATTCCAGTCGCGGGGGGACCTCGCGGGGCCCAAGGACCGTAAAACAACGATTCGGGATGAAACACCAACCTCGGGGAAAGCGTCGGGACTTCTGGGGACCGCGTGTTCAACAACCAAGACGTGGAATGTCTGGGAGGAGGTCCTTCGAGGGACATCCAGAGACCTTCGGGGACCTCTAAAGGTCTTCGGGCCGCCAGTGCTGAGGAGAGATGATGGGGGAGGAAGAGGATGAGGAGAAAGAGCAGAAGGGGGCGCCACCTGGCCTGGCAAGGGCCTTCCGCCTTCCGTCTCCTGCGGCTGCCCCTTCCCCCCGAATACTTTTCCTGTGGCTCCAACCTCCTCCCTTCTCGCCCCTTCTCGCGCTGCTGCTGGTGCTCCTCCTCCTCCTCCTCCTCCTCCTCCTCCTCCTCCTGCTCGTCCTCCACCCACAGCGGCTTCGCGCCTTGCACGCCCCTGGCACGGATCCCATCACGGGATCGCTTCGCGGACACCCCAGTCCAAGTCCAAGTCCAAGTCCTGCTGTTTCTGCTCGTGCTCCCCCCCTGCCTCTGATCCAGTCCACCTTCTCCTCCTCCTCCTCGAGCCTTCCAAGCTCGGGAAGATGTCTGGGGACGCATCGTGCATGACGCGCAAGAGAAGCCGCCCGTCGCCGAGCTCCTCCACGCCGGAGGCGCCGTCGTCCACGACCTGGGCGTCGGGAACGGCGTGGGGCCGATCATTCACGCATTCCTGCGTATATGTATGCACGCGCATGTCTACAGGCGTGCACGGGCACGCGCATGCGCATACTTGTATGCCCGATTCTGGAAACCCCGAACCCAAATACGTTTACATCTCTTGGGGGTGCACCTTTTTCTTCCGCCGCCTTCCGCTGGCCTTCCGTCGGCTTCCGTCGGCGGCAGCGGCCTCGTTTTACTTCCGCGGACCTTCCGCCGCCTTCCGCCGAGGAAGAGATGACGATTCCTTCGATCCTCGAAGGCAAGGCTCTTCTTGGAACGCCTCACGTGGACTGGGCTGGACGTTTACACCCTCACACATTTGACTACGCATGCGTGTAAACATGTGCATTCATTCATAGACGAACATGTGTGCATGCACACGAACACTTGCACGCATGCGCATATGCACGTGCACGTATGCAGTACACATTTCTTGTGTACGTATGTTCACAACACCGTAATACTAGGTCGGCCCAAGACGGCCTGCAAACCTTCCAATATGACCTAATACGACCCAAACAAAATCACGAGAGGACCTCAATACGGCCCAACTGGCTTCCAAGACGGCGCCAAGACGACCCAAAAGAGCCCCAAAACGGCCCACTAGACTAGCAAGATGGCCGTAACGGGCCCCAAGACGGGCGAGATAACCCCACAAGGCGGATACCATTTTACCAGACGGCCCCAGGAGCCTTAAAGAGGCCCCGAGACGCCACCAAGACGCTCCCAAGAGCCCCCGAGGGGCATCAAAGATGCCCCCAGGAAGCCCCCCTCAGAGGCTCTTATGGGGAGGAGGAGAGACATGTATACTGACATGACAAGCAGTGGTCCTCATCCTCAGTTTCTTCTTTGTACCCGACTGACCCACCAGGAAAGTGGGACGCAACTTTTCCAGGGGCGAAAGGAGAAAAGCGAAGGGGCGAAGCCTACACTCCTATAATCCGCCACCGCGCCCACCTGTCACTTTGAAGTTCGGCATTTTCGTTTCGGTGTTTTGGTGTTGGCCCTGTAGCTCACGCGCGTGCAGTTCGCACCACGAGCAAAGTGAAAGGAGATCGCGATCAGGAATAACAAAAACCGACCGCACGAGGGAGAATGAGCAGCGCGATCGCCAAATCTAGTTGTCACGAGCGCGTCAGCTATTTAGAACCCTGGCCTATGCCAGAAGTAACAAACACAGGGCCACAAGGGGGGGAAGACGGAGAGAAGGACAAATCACTGAGACAAGGAAGACTGGCAATGTCGCTGTGTGCGTACCCCCACATGGCCCAACCGACTATCAATCTAATTCGGCGTCGCAGAGCGTCATGCAACTAAGCGGAAGGACAATGCGTCACACAGCGACTTAACAAGCGGACGGACAATGCACAATACAAAACGCCAGCTGCAACCCATGCGGCGACGCGGCTGGTGGACCCATGCCTGGAACTCTATCGCGCAGGAGGCGGAAGCAGGACGGAGAGAGGAGAAGAAAACACGCGGGACGAATCCACGGCAGGAGTAGGCAATACTGGCAAGCTGGCTGGGCGATCAGTGCAATCCCTCACCGATATGTGGACATGCATGCCTCCGTGGGTGAGGCACGGCAGTGCCCCGCCAACCTCGGAAGGCCGAGCCCATGCGGCGAGACGGCGAGCCCCGGACGGCGCGAAGGCGAGCCCGTGGGCTCGGCCCACCGCGGCCGTGAACTGAGCCCACACACGCGGCCCGTGCGCATGATTACCCAATTGGTCGGAAGAAGTAGGTAGAAACATGAAGTAGGAAGGCGTTGGAAATAGATTGGGTTTCCGCGCGCCTCCTGAAGAGGAAGGAAGGGGGAAGACCACTCGACTCTTGAAGTAGGACGGCGCTGAAAGTAGATTGGAATCTGGGAATCCAAACATACCTACTTTCAACGACCGATGGGTAAAGGGAGGGGCGGGCAACTAGGAGGGAGGAGGGGAGGCGAACAAGAACAGCACAAAGACCACATCCGATTCGACTGAAGGCTGGCAGACAAGAGGAGTGGTGCCGTGCACCTGAGAGGGAAGCCTGGAGTCCGCCGCCACGGGCCAGGGGAACTCCCGCACAAGCCGAGCCCCACAAACGGTGCCACCGCGCGCTGCCTCAGCAACACGCCGAGGCAACACGCTGCGGCCTCATTAGCCAGGCTCGCGATCAGCAAGCCGCTCGACCAAGGGAGGTGAGGCGGAGGAGGCGAGGAGGAGGAGGCGAGGAGAGAAGATCGACGCGGAGGGGAGGAGGAGTGCACTAGGAGGAGGGGAGGAGGGGAGGTGAGGCGCGAGGAGGCGCGAGGAGAGGAGGTGAGGCGCGAGGAGGCGAGAAGAGGAGGCGGAGAAGATCGACGCGATGGGAAGAGGGGAGGTGAGGCGGAGAAGGCGAGGAGAGAAGACCGACGTTCCGCGGCTCACCTACGGCACCGCCGGGCGGAGCCTCAGCGCCAACCGCCCCAGGCGCGGCGCCAACGCCAGACGCGCTGCTCGCCGCACTGCGCGACCCTCTCCTGGACGCCAGAAGTGTACAAAAATGCCAAGCGCTGTCTGGTAGGGTCTACGTAATCTTCGAAGGGCGCCCCCCATCCTCTACGCACAGCACAGACCTCTGCATGTATCCCCCCCTTCCCGAGGGCACGATCCCTCGCTACAAAATTAAGAGCTGGGCCCCCGAGGTCATCCAAAGGCCACGAGCTCGCGTACGAACGTTGGATCCGCGCATCTGCGGCCCCGAGGCCAAGATCCTTTGCAAAAACTCTGGGTCCGTGCTGCCGAGCTTTCAAGACTGCGAAGGCAGGCAAACAAGGCCGCCAAGATGGCACAACATGCCTTCAAGGAGGCCCACAGCGACCCCAAATGACTTCAAGACGGCCAAGAGCCCCCTGTAGATGGCCAAAGAGGGCCACAACATGACCCCCACTAGGGCATGTAAAAACCACTAACATCACATCACATCACACCACTATCTACCACACTATGTCTGTATGGATGGATGGATGCATGTATGTATGTACAACAGAAGGTTCATCTGCCATCGCTGCCGTCCTCAATCAGGCGTAGCAGCAAATAAACCAGTCCTAGCAACATGTGAACTAAATCAACCAACATACGTACTAGATAACCCCAGCCCGCTTTCACTCCAGGAACGTGCAGACTAGTCCCCCATTGCGTCCACAGTCCCTTTGCTGAGCTCGTCATGCAGCTCATTCATCACATCTGCCTCCATGTTCTGCTTCTCCTTTTGCGCCGCCTCCTCCAGCTTACGCAACATGTCAGCCTTCATCCTGGCCTTCATCTCTTCTCGCGTCTCTGGGGCTGTGGTGGTCTCGGCCGCGAGCTCCTTCAGGAACTCATCCCTCGCCATGCTCTCGACCTCAGCGGGGGTCTCCGTGGGCGTGGTGATGTCTGAAGTATCCTTGAGGAGTTCCTCCCTCATCCGCTTTGCCTTCTCGGCAAGTGTTTCTGCGGGCGTGGTGCTGACAGACATCGATTTCAGGAACTCATCCCTCGTCTCTCTCTCCAGCTCGACGGGGCCTCTGGGGCAGTGTAGCTGGCTGTCATTGCCTTCACGAGCTCTTCCCTTATCCTGCTCTCAGCCTCGGCTGGGGTCTCTGCGTGCGTGGTGCTGATGGACACCTCCTTCAGAAGCTCCTCGCTAATCTTGTTGGCGACATTGGCAGGGCTCTCCAGGTGCGCGGTGCTGACGGACATCTCCTTCAGAAGCTCCTCGCTGATCTCGTCCGCCACGTCGGCAAGGGACTCGGCGCGCGTGGCAGAAGCGGACCTGTCCTGAAGAGGAAGCTCCTTCTTGATCCTAACGCGAAAGAGAGGCGACCACGACATCGCTCGAGTTACCCGTGCACTCCGTGACAGGACGCGGCAGAGACGGACCGGTGACTTTATGTACATCAACATCCCAGAAGTAAAAAGGCACCGGCGAGGGAAAGAGCCACCGGCTTAAAAACCCAGCCGGCCTGACATATTAAAAACGCCGGTCTTCAGCGACACCCTGTGTTTTTGGAGAGGGCGTTTGGATTCCTCCGCCTCCTCTGGGGACAGCACCTCGCCCGTGGAGATCGTGGGCATGGGCTCCAGACCCACCACCTGCTTGTCCACGGGTTGAACAGGGACCGACCGTCCTGGCATTCCTATAGTCCTACCACGACATGGTCTTAGAACCCAAGCATGTTCTAATTAAAAAATAAGGTTCTTCCAACCGAAGCCCGATGTGATGAACCAAGACGGTCCCAATCAGAAACGTTCTGAGAACATGGCGTGGGAACCACAAGAGGTCCTCAGACCATTGCTTGGTAGGGCTATAGGCGAGCCAGGTCGCTTCGCCACTCCCTGAACGGGGTGGACCGCGTCGCCCCGCTCTGGGGCGGGCTCGCCGGCCCCGCCCCCCAGCGGGCGGGGCGGCCTCGGCGGGCTCGGCGGGCGCCGCCCTGCTCGTCGGCGGGCCGGCCGGCGCCGCCGCCCTCCCCGGCAGACCCCGCTGCCGAGCCGCGCTGCTCCTCGGCGGGCCGGGAGGAGTTCTGCTCTGCTCCTGCTGCAGGGCCTCGCGCTCGGCCTTCGGCTCGGCCGCCCGCTCCGGCGCCTCGCTCTCGGCCCTCGGCGTCTCCAGCTCGGCCGACTGCTTCGAGGCGTCGTTCTCGGCCTTCGGCTTCTCCAGCTCGGCCTTCAGCCGGTCGGCCTCCGAGGTGGCGTCGGGATCTGGGCTGGCCTCCAAAATTGCCCCCGCGACGGTGCCCTCCCGGGCCGCGTCGTGGGGCGCCTGCTGAGACGCATCCTCATGCTCCTCGGTCAGGCTCGTCTCGACACCGCCCTCGTCGACATAGGGAAGCGGCTCATCCTCGCCAGCAGCGAGCTTCGCATCCACCTCGGGTAAGGGCAGGCTCCTCTCCGCAGCGGCATCTGCGACGCCCTCTGCAGCCACGTGCTCCTCGGGCGCTGGGGGCTCCAAATCGGATGCGTTCTCCGCGGCAATTTCCGTGGCTCTCTTCGCGGTCGAGCCCTCCACGCGCCTGCCCACGAGCCCGTCGCCATCCCTCCCGGTGTTAAAAATCGAACCCTCCCGAACGGGCCCAATAACAAACTGAGGTGTTCGACTCGTCCGGCCCAGGCACCGCATAGGTGTCCGCGTCGATCTCCTCGGTGGAAGCCTTCTGGGGCGCCAGGGGTTCCATATCGGATGCGGTCTCCGCGGCGCTCTCATAAGTCAAGGCCTCCTCGGATTCGTTCTCCGCAGCGGCATCGTCAGACAACACGGCCTCCGTTGTCGAGGCCTCCGCTGTGTCCTGGGTCGGGATCGCGAAGCGCGAGGTGGACGCGGGGACCATGCCGTCCCAATCGCCGTCGAAATAGGTTTCATCACATTCATAGTCATATCTTCCACTGGCTTCTTCATGTAGCCGCGTTGGTCAATCACCTTTTGCGAATGCAACGCAGCGCATGGTCTGGTGCAGCCCGCCTTGATGCTGTGATGAAGACGTTCCTGCACCTCCCTGAAGGTAGAGGCCAATTCATCAAGCGCCACCTTGATATCGATTCCTCCAATCTCAGCCATCACCGCGTCGAAGCAAGCCGAGCCCTCTTCCGCGTCAGTGCAAGAGGGTGCCGCCGTCGACGTTATCGTCGTCATGTCGGGCCTCCACTCTTGGCAGGGCTCGGGGCAGCCGACCTTGCCCTGCCTGTGGAGCTCGGCCTGGATCTCCCTGTCGGTGGACTCGTGGCTGAGGCCGGGGTAACAATCCTGGTACCCCCCGAACTCGGAGTCCCTCAGCCACTGGATGGAGATGGAGCGCCAATCACCCGTGGTCGTGTTGCCACAGCTCTGGGGCGGAGCAAGCACGACCTCCTCGCCGCTTATCTCCCGGCCATTTGTTGACTCGACCTCGAGCAAGTCGGTGTCGTCCTGCTTCGCTGCGTAGGTCGCTGGCGCATGCTCGCAGGGCTTCTTGCACTCGGCCTTCCCGAGGGAGTGCAGGATCATCTGGACGTCCTCGAAGCTGGTATCGCTGGACAGGCCAGGGTACCACTCCGGGTGCCTCGCGAACCCGGACTCGCGCAGCCACGTGACCGAGTGGTGGCACAGGCTGCCCTCCGAAGCGTCCTCGCAACCGGCGTCGAGCGCGCCAGCGGCTGGGCCGGAAGCCTGCGCGGGCATGTCCCTGGCCCTCCTCGGCGCCGAGGTGCTGTCCACATCACCTCCTCGAGCTCGCCGCCGCCGATAGTGGGGGTCGCTAGGGCGACCTATAGCTCCTTCGATGATGAATCCAGTAGCTAGATCGATGGTACAATCGATCGTGACATCAGTCGTGAGATCGATGGTCAGATCGATCGTGGGACCCAGTCTTTCCGTACCCATTCGTTCGTGCAGCGCCGAAGCCGTGGGACTGCGAGTTGAGGGCCTTGCCGGCGCCCGTGTGGAGGAGCCCCAGCGCGGGCGGGCGGCGTTCGGCGTGGTCCATGGGGGCAAGGGCGGCGGGCACCGGGCCGAGCCGAGCGGGTGGAGCAGCGACTGGACGTCCTCGGAAGGTCGGCGCTACGGGTGCCCTCGAGGTTCGATCCTCGAGGCTCGGTCCTCGATCTTCGATCCTCCTCCTCCTCCTCGGCCTCCTCCTCCTCCTCCTCCTCCTCCTCCTCCTCCTCCTCCTCCCCCTCCTCCTCCTTCTCCTCCTCATCCTCCTCCTCCCCCTACTCCTCCTCCTCCTCCTCCTGGCCCGCGTCGCCGGGAAACCAATCCGGGTGTTGCCTGGCGCCTTTGTCCGTGGCCCACACGAGCGCGCTGTGGCACCACTCGCCTGGGATCGCGTCGCGGCACCTGGCGGCGGGAGACCGAGAGGTCATACTGACCTGGAGCGCCAGGCAATCACGAAGAAGCAGGAGCAAGGTCACGAGCGGCACCATGGCGGCCACGCTCTGGCAGAGTTACGGAGGGGCACGCGGTTTGCTTGAGCCAAGCTTGAGCCAAAATGGCTACGGATGCATGTATGTATGCATGTATGCATGCATGTATGCATGTATGGATGCATGTATGTATGCATGCATGCATGCATGCATGTATGTATATATGTATGTATGCATGTATGCATGTATGCATGTATGCATGTATGCATGTATGCATGTATGCATGTATGCATGTATGCATGTATGTATGTATGTATGTATGTATGTATGTATGTATGTATGTATGTATGTATGTATGTGTGTACTTATGTATGCATGTATGCATGTATGTATGTATGCATGCATGAATGTAGGTGTGTAAATGTATATGCATGTGCGTATGTACGTATGTATGTATGCACGTTCGTAGTATGTATATATGTGTATATATGTGTAAACATATATGCATGTATGCATGCCTACAGGTACGTATGTATGCATGCATGTGTGTCTGTATATATGCATGCATATGCATATTTATATACCTATATATATAAATATATATAGGTATATACACATGCATGCATGCATGCACGCATACATTTACATATATACATATGCATGTACATATGTATGCATGCATGTATGTATGTATGCATGTATGTATGTATGTATGTATACATGTTTGTATGCATGCACGTTTGTATGCATGTCGGTATGCATGCATGTATGTTTGTATGTTTGTATTCCTATGTGTGCATGTGTGCATGCATGCATGTACGTCTGTATGTATGCATGTGTGTATCTCTCTCTCTCTATATATATATATATACAGATATACGTGTAATAGTTCATTCTCATGTTTCTGGTACCTTCGCTGTTTCGGGCTTCCTGCAGCTCTGGCCTTCATGGCCCCAATACGGCCGAAGAAAGGGCTCCGAATGGCCAAGTAATCCACCAAGACGGCCCCAAGACACCCCAAGAAGGCCCCTAGACGACCCAAGATGGCCCCCAAGAGAACCCCAATCTGGCCAAAGAGGGACTCTGGACCCAAGACGGCCTTCGAGAGCCCCTCGGCGGTCCAAGGAGACGGCCCAAGAGAGCCGCAACACGGCCCAAAAGGACCCCAAGACTGCCCAACGTGGCCCACGGGAGCCCCCAAACTGCACCACAGGAGCTCAAGAAAGGACTGAAAAAAGGGAGGCAGACGACGGGGACGAGAAGATAACCCTCAACACGACGCAGAAGAGTGTTTCACATGTACGGCTCTCCCAAGCCTCGGGGCAGGAGGTGTCACACGTTGCGCCCCCACCGAACAGTCGCCACCAAAATTGCTGGGCTGGCACTGTGGCGGGACTTGCCGCAGGCAACTGGATAGATGTGAACGTGCATGTAAATGTACCTGAGCTCTGGTGCATGTAACTGTACCTGAACCCTGTGAACGAGCAGATCTGTTGTGTGCATGAGCACACATACGCCATGTTGTTGGTAGACGTATTTGCGTCTGCACATACACATCCATCATGATGGCTGATGTTGCCTCCTGCTAAGCGCTGCGTTATCGATCGTGTGTCCTGATGCCTCCATCCGTTTCGACATATGTACACATATGTCATGTGTACACGCACAGGTGCCTCTCCACGGCCGTGTTTCCCCCCACGAACACGCAAACGACACTCCGACCACAAATGTATGCGCTTGCTGCAGGCCCTCGCGAACACGGACCTCCACGAAGGGATGTGCGCCGCGCGACGCGCGAACCGCGGCGGGCGCGGGTCGCGGGCGGGCTGGAAGCGGCGCCAACCTCCGCGGGCGCGGGCCACGGGCGGCGGGGGTCGCGGCGGGCCCTGGGTCGCCGTGGGCGCGGCGCGGGTGGCGGGCCGACGACGTCAAGAGAAGGCACGCCAACAGCAGAAGCACTCCGCACCGCGGAGCCCCAGCTCAGCCACGCACCTGGGGACCGTCCGAGACGGTTCGGTGCGGCCCCTCGCCGTGATGCGGACCATGGCGCGCGCTTGCGGGCGCGCGAGCGCTTTCATTCGCGCCCGCTCGGTCCCCAGAGCTCCGCGGGACCGGAGTGGGGCCTGCGATGCTGGAGTGTGTGCGCCCGCCGCCCTGCGATCTTTCGCGACTCCAAGGGGCTCGGTGGGAGAGCAAAAATACAGACTCTGCTGCTCCTTGGACCTCTCCCTGGGTGCCTTTCTGAGCAGGATCTCGGGGAGACTCCAGCTGTGGCGACGAGGGCTCTCTGGGACGAGCAGCGGCATCGGCACCTTTCCCTCCTCTGATTCGGGGGCCGAGCCCGCGGCCCAGTCGAGCGAGTTGACCCACTCCAGCAGGATCGACGCGTCGATGTCCGCCATGGGCCTTCGAGCGCCGCTCTGCGGGGCCCCTCGAACATGGGCGAGGGCGAGCCGACTGGCCCACGACCTCCAGCCAAAGAGGCAATATGCAGGAGGAAGGGGAGGGTGCGAAAGGGAGGGGAGGTGGAGATACAGTCGAGTGGGTGCGCGAGGGGCGCGGGAGGGAGGGAGAGGTGTGGATGATGACGATGATGATGGTGATGATGATGATGATGATGACGATGCTGATGATGACGATGTTGATGACGATGCTGATGATGACGATGCTGATTGTGATGATGATGACGATCATGCTGATGATGATCATGCTGATGATGATTGATATGGGGGTGCTGATGATACTGATGATGATGATGCTGATTATGCTGCTGATGATGCTGCTGCTGATGATGACCATGACGATTCTGACGATGCTGATACGGATGCTGATGCTGATGATGATGATTGATGATGCTGATGATGATGCTGCTGCTGATGTTGGTGGTGACGGTGGCGGTGATGATGGTGATGATTATGATGCTGCGGCTGCTGATGATAATGATGATGCTGCTGCTGATGATAATGATGATGCTGAGGAGGAGGGAGGGTGGGTGAGGAGCATAATTAGGGTGAGAAGGATAAGCAGGAAGAGATGACGCCGAGGAAGCGATCGACGAGGAAGAAAGAAACGAGAACGCGGATGAAGACAGGAATTAGGAGGACGAGAGACTGGGCTGGAGCTGGATGGACCGCAAAGAGGGACGATGATCAGAATGAGGGCTTTCCATCCCCCCACTACCCTCCAACTTCGCACTTCCCCATCACCTCTGCAACCCCTTGGGGGCGGAAGCGAACGGGGAGCGGAGGAGAGCGCGTGCATATATATATATATGTATATATATACATGTATATATATAAATATATGTTTACGTGCAAATTTACACATACTCACATCTCTCGCTCTCACCCTTTCTCTCTCTCTCTTTTTTTTTTTTTTTCTTTATCTCTCTCTCTCTCTCTATATATATATATATATGCATATAAAAATATTTACATACATGTGTTAGCCAGCGTGGGCCCCAAACAACGTGTTTCTAGCAACATGGCAACGCAAAGCAGCGCGAATCAACACAGAGCAAGGCAAACCAACGCAATGCAACGCAATACAATGCAACTCAATGCAACGCAATAAAGCATTTAAAATCAAGGCAAGGTAATGCACATTGATGCAACGCAATGCCATGTATAGCTATGCAAAGCAAGGTAAAACCAAACAAGACAAAACTATACACACCAATGCCACGCAATGAAAAACAACGCAATGAAAAACAAAGCAATGCATAGTAAGTGTAAGTCCGAGCAGGCAAGCATTGTCACGTCGGCGACGAGCGGCGACAAGGCGGCGACAGCGATTACATAGCCGCCACACACGGCCGCCACATAGCCGCCACACACACGCGGTTCCTCCTTCCAGAAGTGAGAGCCCCTAGTTACTAACACTGTTTGGGGAAAATCGGCAGAGAATGAGAGAGAGAGATGTTTATAGAAAACAAACAAATTCGATGCATGTTTTTTGATTACCGGGCGCCCAGAAATCCCGATGATCCTGATTTCTTGGGGCCAGCCTTTAATCCTGAGTAGTATTCGACGGTCCTGGGGCCTGGCGAGGGTCCCTGGGGGCGAAAACGGCGAAACACTTCCACACTGTTTTCTATAATACGTTGCAGGTCATGGGGCGGCGACGACGGACGGTGCCCTGATGACTGCGACGCCGACGACGACGACAACGACGAGCGCCGCGCCGCGCGCTGGGTCGCCTCTTCTCGGCGCGGGTGGGGAATCGCTCCCGCGCGGGGGGGGGCTCCCCGAGCTTCGAGGCGGAGGTGGCCCAGAGGAGCCGCGGCTGCTGGTCTGGCCGGCGGCCGCGCGGCCTCTCAGGAGCACAGCGCCTCCACGAACGCCTCCACCTCGGAGGTGCGTCCCCCCGCCCTCAACCTGGTCCTCGTCGTCGCCGGCGGAGATGGAGCACCACACGTTTTGCATGACTGCTGGTGAAGCGTCTGGTGCTTCCTCTCAACACGTTTTTTTGTTTGCTTTGTTTTGTATTGAAGTTTGTTTTGTTTGTTTGTCCGTGCGCTGGCATTCAGTAAATCTGCTATCACCACTGGTAGGCATAACTTGCTGGTTGTAACTATTAATGCCACTTGGCCACCAACATTCATAAATGTGATGCTACACCTCCGCCGCCGCCGCCGTCGCCGTTGCCGTTGTCGTCGTCGCCGTTGTCATCGTCCTCATCGTCGTCGCCGTCGCAGTCGCCGCCGCCGCCGCCGTCGCCGTCGCCGTCGCCGCCGCCGCCGTCGCCGTCGCCGTCGCCGTCGCCGTCGCCGTCGCCGCCGCCGCCGCCGCCGCCGCGGCCACCGTCGTCGTCGTCGTCGGCGTCGTCGACGTCGTCGTCGTCGTCGTCGACGTCCTCGTCGCCGTCGTTCTTGTCGACGTCGTCCTGGGACTGTGGGGCCAAAACTGCAGCAAAAGCCAGCCCTCTGCCTTCTTAGCGACAGAATATGCCTGGGCCTCTGGAGGTCCCCGGAAGAAAACCAAAAACGTCCAGCAACCTCGGTCCTGAAACTTCGATCGTCATTCCTACAGGAGTCTTGTTGAATTCATGCCTGAAAGATAACCATTGTTGATCCCACCTCTGGTGCACCTTAAGAATCTCGCTCTCGGCCTGGACTTCTTGGGGATCGCGCTATCTCCAGAGACTTCCTCGCGATTCATGCTGGACTGACGCTTCAACGAACCGCCCGCTCAACCTGGCCGTCTGGGCCCGCCCGCCCGACCCTGCCGTTAGGGTTCGCCCGCCATGCCCGTCCGTGTAGTTCTGCCGATGGTTTTCATGCGCATACCCCCTCCTGCTAACCTCTCTCGTGCTCCATTATTCTCCCTCTCCCTTGCACCTTGCTTCCTCCCTCTCTCCCTTTCTGCTCTCATTTCCTTGTCGCTATTTTTTTTTCGTGTCTCCCTCCTCTTCCTGTTTTAGGGGCTGCGCCAACTACATACGGCAGGTGAGGAAGATATACCGCCACGGGGGGGTACGATCGAAGACGAAGAGGGCGGGTATCGAGGGTTCGGGAGAGACATGATGATTGACGCGCGAGCAGATAAGAGCGAACGAACTTAGAATGATTGTTGACTTTCCATTTCTAAAGCATAGCCATTGTTGATTCCCCCTTCGGCGAACATGGTGCTTTTTCAGTTGAAGTGTCCCTGCCGGAGCTCGTACCCTTTATTCTATAAGAGAAAATTTTGAGCCTCAGAGTGCGTTGTTGGTCCCCAGTTGCCACAGCAACGGCTCCCGCCTGATAGTTCTTCACAGTTTATTGCAAATCGTGCTTTGGCATTGGTTGTTCTTACCATCTATCCAAGCACTGCGCTCTCGCGCAGGCTTTCCTCGCAATTTACTGCGAAGCCGCGCCGTCGACACTCAAGAATCACGCTCTCGCTGTCAGCTTCCTCACGATTTCCTTGGGAATCGCGCTATCTCTGAGACTTCCTCGCGACTCATGCAAGACTACAGTTGGGGCGCTGACCCAGGGAACCCTAAACAAGGAACGAGGCCACTGTCTCCCCATGAGTTAAGCTTCGATTTCCCATCGAAAACCTAAGGAACGCCCAAGGCAAACTGTAAAACAGCGAAGGAACACGGAGCCCCTCCCCAACGAAAAGGGTTCCTTCGTCAGCGCCCCGACTGTAACGCTTCCGCGACCTGCCCGCTCGACCTGGCCGTCCCGACCCCGGACGTCCGGGTCCGCCCGCCGGACCCGCCCATTTGGCCCTGCCGCTTCTTCTCCTGCTCCTGACCCCCCTCCTGCTCGTTGACCTAAGGAACCCTAAATAAGGAACGAGGCAATTTTTTTCATAAGTTAACCTTCGACTTCCCATCGAAAGCTTAAGGGAAACCTTGGGCAAGGTGTGGAACAATTAAGGAACACGGAGCCCCTCCCAAACGAGAAGGGTTCCTTCTTCAGCGCCCCCACCGTATCTCTCGTGTTTCCTGAAAGCAGCTGTGGCGAACTCCGAGCAGTCCCTGGCTGATTCCTATGTGAGCTGGAGAACTTTTTGTATACTCAGCCCTCATCGAGGTCAACGGCTCAGAATTGGCGGTCGGGGACCTGAGCCGACCAGCGCAGCGACGCCGAGGAGCTCGACGGCAAGCGACCGAGGCGTCGCGGTCCGCGGAACCCTCGGCGGCCGTCGGATAATACGAAGCCAAGACCAAGACAACATCGGACGGGGACAAGCCGGGGATCTCTGAGATGTGGCGTTTCTGGAAGTCGTGTCGGGCGTTCGAGAGCGCTTTCGAGAGCTCCGAGAGCGTTGCGGAACGTTCTGGGCCGATGTATCCCGGTGCTGGGCCCGCCCGATCGTAGGCCTTCGTCGGTCCAGGCTGTGGCGCAGAAATCGTCGCCATCTGGGGAACACACAATGACATGAACATGTAAGCCGACGTGGACCCTGAACAGTGTGTCTCTAGCAATGCATAGTGTCCAGTTTTTTTCACATATAGACCTGGACATGATGCAATCGATGTTGTGCAGACTATGTCGGACAACCGCTGTTGCGCAGTGAAATCGCGACGTATAGAATGTACATTTTATGATGTGCAATCGATGTGGATTAATCTACGCGTTGTAATCTACGAGGCGCAATGTATATTGTGCAATATGTGGAGTATCATCGATATTGTGCACTCTGTCTGGTGCGCCCTATTTGGTTCAGTATCTGTGATGCAACCAAATGTGCCACAACATATGTTCTGCACTCAATGCTGTGTGGTGTAATATATTTGGAACAGCACATGTAGTGCAAAACCAGTGTTGCGATCAATGTGGCGTACCTTATGTGAATCAATCTATGTTGTACAGCAACTGCTGTGCAATCTATGTGGTGCAATATACGATGTGCAACTTAGGTCGTGTGGTCGTGCAATGTATGTTGTGAGCGATCAAAAAGCGCGCCAC